AAATTTAAGGGGCTGCAAATGTCTTGGAGTATTCCAGCCATTACTGGAATGTAGTCTCTTGAAACATTTATTCTTTCGAGTTGCTCAAATGTTCAAAGTTTTCCTGAAATATGGGGGAAATGCGGTGTTTGTCGAAGCTTTATTTAGACAGGTCAGGCTTGAAAGAACTTCCCTCATCGATCAAACATCTCGCCGGGCTTAAACTTTTGGATTTAACAGACTGCAAAAGCCTGAGTCTGCCAACCATTAGAGGAATGGAATTTATTGAAAAGTTAATTCTTTCAGGTTGCTCAAATCTCCAAATGTTTCAGGAGATTGAGGGGAAAATGGAATGTTTGATAGAGCTTAATTTAGAGGGGACAGCAATCAAACAACTTCCATCTTCAATTGGAAATCTTAACAGGCTTAATCTCCTGAATCTAAGTGGCTGTAAAAATCTTTGGAGTCTCTCAACCGATGGATGGAAACTACGACCTTCCATGACTTCGACATTAGCTCCGTTGTCGGGTTTGATATCTTTAAGAGAATTAGTCCTAAGTGACTGCAACCTTGGTGATAGGGGTATTCCTAGTAGCATTGGCTGTTTATCCTCTTTGGTAAATCTATTCCTTAATGGCAACAATTTCATCACCCTCCCTATAGCTCTAAGCCGGCTTTCAAAGCTCAGTTATCTCAAATTTTCGAATGCAAGAGACTCAAATCGGTGCCTGCACTTCCATCAACAACAAGTGCAGCAGTAGACGGTTGTGATTCTTTGGAAGAAGTTGCAGCTCCAGTAGTCGTATGCGATTCGATGGGTGAGACATCCATTTATGCTATTAACTGCTTCAAATTGGCTGGAAATGCAAATGCAAGAAGACATCTCAAGGTAGTTGCAAATGCAAGACCAAAATTTGTCATTGTTATGCCAGGTAATGAAATCCCATAGTGGTTCAGCCATCAGAGGGATGGATCTTCAATAACAGTAACTCTGCCAACCGAATTCAATCGGTTGATCGGAGTTGCTTTGTGCTGTGTTTTTGCTTCTGTTTCATTCGAAGACGATCCTCAGACTTACGGATTACTTCATTCCTTATTCAATGTTGCATCTCTGTATGTGGCATAAAGTCTCGGATAAGTTTCATTAAAATAAATTTATCTAATTAACAAAAACTTTCATTAGTATTTAACAAAAACTCTCATTATTAATTAAAATAAATTCATCAACGTGGTTGGTTTAAGTGATAAGTAATTTGATACTGCTTAAGTAAGATCTTAGGTTCGAGTCCTTGTGTATGTAGAAAATCTTGGGAGAATTACCTACTAATGCTAATTATGCGCACTAATATTATATGTATAATCCAGATCGATTTAAATTAATCAAGACGAAATCTTGTAATAGAAGGAAAAAAAATTATCTTATATATGACAAATAAATCACTTTATCATTATATATGACAAATTTATTTACTAAAAACGCCACGTGGCGCACCTTGTATACCCAGAGAATCAACGTCCCAGAATATCCCAGGGGCATCTCGGAACTAATCCTCGCCGTCCGCGTTTTGTTGTCTTTTATCTTCCTCATCATCCAAAAATGTTTGTTTATTTACTATAATCCAATTCTCTCGCTCTCTTCTGAAATCTTCAGTTTGTTCCTAGGAATAATTCCCTTTTTCCATGGCTTCCTTTCCGGTCCCGATCACAGTTGCTGTCTCTGCCCCTTCTTCTTTGGTTTCTGATCGGAGAACGTCCGTTAAATTATTGGAATTTCGTGGTCTCAAGTTTAAACAGAGGACGGCATCGCTGAATCAGCTGTCCAGATCGGTGATTCAGGATCCGCGTCGAGTCGGTCGAGTTGGACTTGTTGTTTGTGAGGCTCAGAACACTGCTGTTGAGGGTGAGTTTCGTTTGTTTCGGTGAAAATTAATTTGTTTCTTCTGTTCTTATTGTTTTCATTACGTTTTTTTTAGTTTCATTGATTGCTTGGAGAGTGGAAGGAAATAAGAAAGGATTATTAGATGAAAAAGAAAAAGAAATTAGATTCAAGTTACAATCAAATCTTTCTTGGTTGAATTATGGTAGATACGTTATATTATAATTGATTGTTTGTTTATGCTGAAGGTGGTGAATTTGTTTAAGATTTAGAAATTGAAGTAATTCTCTCACATCCAATAAGTCCCTAATTCCCCTCCGGCGGAATCAAACCATAGAATTATAGGTTGGAAGTCATATGTTTTAAGTTATATTATGATCGATTGGCCTACATTTTTGTTAGCCTTGTCCAAAGTTTATCTTTTAAAACAACATCGAGGATATTTGAAGCTCCTCTTGTGCTTGGTTTCAAATGAAACAGAATGTTGGAACAACATAGGATCATGGTACTATTTTCCATATAACTTCAAACTTTGACAAAATTTATAATCATGTTTGTTTCCTTGGATTCTGGTCATATATGTGGATGTATTATTAAGCCTGTTCTTGAAATTTGCAGTGCCGGCAATTAAAGATGAGACTTGGCAGTCACTTGTGCTTGATTGTGAATTGCCTGTTCTGGTTGAATTTTGGGCTCCCTGGTGCGGACCTTGCCGTATGATCCACCCCATAATCGACGAACTGTCAAAGCAATATGCTGGGAAGCTCAAATGTTACAAAGTTAACACCGATGAGAGTCCCGACATAGCAACTCGATACGGAATCCGTAGCATTCCGACTGTTATGGTCTTCAAGAATGGGGAGAAGAAAGATGCAGTGATCGGTGCTGTTCCAAAATCGACACTGACAACTTGCATTGAGAAATTCTTATGATTTCCAGTGGCTTATATTATGATACAGTCTCTGAAATGAACTCATGTATGTTCCTGTATTGTTTATCAGAGATGATGTATTTTGCATGTCTTAGTCAATGCTTTTCTTTGTTACAGTCTTAGTTAATGTTAATTCATATATATATATATATTTAACGTATTTTATATCTGTTTAAACCTCTCTCTTGCTTAAGAGATCCAATGTCTTATTCCGCTAAATCAATTTCTAAGATAATTTATTGTCGGATTTAACGAATATAATGCTTGCAAGTGATGAGTAGGTTTCAGCTGTAAATGAGGGCTGTATTTTTTTGGCTATTGTTTGAGATTGGTGTTGCAGGCAAAACAAGTAAATTCGTAGTCACGCAATCCATGACTCCGGATTAAATGAAGAAAGCAAACAAAATCAGCATTTTCGTGGCTTTTTGTTCCGTCCCACTGCATTTTAAGCCTAAAAGTTCTACTGATAACCCTTCATGCATTGAAAAGAGAAAACACACAAATATGGTGTCAGTAACACAATTTGCAATTTTTATTTTCTTATTTCCTAGTGTTTTTGTCGGTGTTTTTATACCTTGCAAAGTATTATCACTGAAGCCACCTGTTGCATATCAACATTAAACAATTTACTTGGGTCATTTAAACAATATTTGAAGATAAAAATTCAAATGAAAATTAGTAATATTGGGTCATTTTTTAATTAATTTTATTTTTTTATAGAAATTTAATTAATTTTATTCAACCATTAAGACGATGACGCATGTCACCAACATCATATGAATTATGAACTTGAATTACTGCTTAATCAGAGCTTGATTAGTAGAATATCATTATTATTTTCTTCTACTGTTAACGTTATTTTCTTCAATAAATATCCAAATTCACTCTTGAAGTTCTTCAAATTCAATTTTACAGATAACACTTCTTGTACTTCCAGGAGCTTTCATCGGAGGGCATGGGTTTAAGTTCTGTCCCATCTGAAGTATGGGTGAATTCCTAAAACTCAATCTTGCCAAAAATTCTATCCAAGAGCTGCCAGTTGAACTCTCCTCATGTTTATCCCTTCAGGTATTTGCTCTCTAGCGTTATCATTCCATCTAGAAGTATACTTCAGTTGTTAATAAAATAAAATGATGTCTATCCATGTTTCTGAATCGGATAAAACATGCATATTATGTATTGTTGCTTTAAGCTTCCATAGGAGTTTTGCTTGTGATATCTATTCTATAGCCATGAAGTTTAAAGCTCGTGGCTAATGTATTACAGCTGATTTTTTTTTTTTGCTTTTTTAAATCATTATTGACTCGTATTTAAATTTGTAGATTAAATCATTATTGACTAGTATTTAAATTTGCAGAGAAGTCCCTTTACCGTCTCCTTATTCAGATTATATATGATCACTCGTTTCTTAGTTACGGTTTTTATTTGGGCAGGGTCTACTTGAACCAAACCTCCAAGTTTTGAGACAATGGCAACCCATTGAGAAGGTATGCTGCATTTGAGCTATAGTCCATTCCAAATTTAAAATCTTAACAAGCGAACATTAAAGATATACAGACCCGAACTTAGTTTGGTTTCATGTTCTGTTTTGGTTCTAGCGTGAAATGTTTTCCATTTTTTCTTTCCCCAGCATCAGGAGGCCAATTTTAGACAGAGGAACCAAAGCTATTCTGAAGTATTTGAAAGACAAACTTCCAGAGCAATAAGAACAGCATGCCACTCTGCCGTTTACGATTGCCTGAAAGCTTGATCTCAAGTAGTGAAGCATTTGAGATTCTGGGTTTAAGTTGATGGTGGGGAGAATGTAGTATAACGAGTGGTTGATAATTGAACTTCGGATTGACCGGATTTTTATTTATTTATTTATTTATTTATTTGGGTTATGATTAAACATAGGATATAACTCCAGTTTGCTGATGAACAATGTATCAAAGACGCATGATTGAATCATGACATAAAAATGGAGGAAAACTACATAAATTTATGTTTATTAATGAATTCTTCCTACCTAATATTTTAACCTAGCCATTTCTTGTCCTTTTCCTGCATTGATACCATGAAAAACACTAGTATTTGGTCATAATGGAAACAAAAGAAACTGTAAAATAATGACAATATCATATTAGCATTTGTTATTAATACAAAACACCTAACCAATTGAGACAATTAAGCGTTTCCAATACAAAACAAAATAGAAGAGTCTGCAACGAAATATTATGGAGTCATAATTTCACATTTCTTCGATTCCTTCGGTAAACTCAATAGTTTTTCTATGATAGTCGATGGTTGTTCCTCACACACATCAATTCTTCTAATTATGAGCTTTTCCATAACTGATGCATGTTTCAAGAAATAACTTACCATTCCAAACATATTCTCCTTTCCATCGAAGTACTTGATTTCAATCTCCTTGATGCGAAATAACAAACATGAAGGCACTATTGCAGGCAATGACTCGAAACCTCCCGACTTCCTTGCCTAAGCATACAAAAAAAGAAGAAAAAAAAGGTCAGTGAGTTTGTAACATGGATTTCAATTGTGAACTTGAACGATTTCCAAATTCATTCAAGTGTTTAGTAATCGTGGATATAATCGATACTAAATGGTCAGTTGCAATGAATATTCTCATCAAAGTAATTAAGAAAAATCAAATCTGTACACTAAAACTTAATGGTACTAAGAGAAGCCTTCATACCAGTTCCAGGCTAATGGTCTTCAGATTAGGCATGCAACGTAGGAGCTCCACGATCCACTTTCCTTGTCATGCATCGTTAAATTTATTACAAAATTCCAGTTCAACAAGGTTGTAAAATGCAAGCATTGGATCAAGAGGTGCCAGGAAAACCTGTACACAAAAAAACTAAGAACTATCATATAATGTTAAAATAAAAGAATTATATATTCCAAACCATGATTTGAATAGAACCAAGTACACTAACCTTTCTAGGGCTATCTTCAATGCCTAAATAAAGAGACTGTACATTGCAAACACCCCGAAGAAGATTTGCTACACATTCACGATCATCGTTATCCATTTCAGTGATTTGAATATCAGCTCTTTCTAGAGATTTCATTTCACTTAAAGTACATTCTTCAGCCATTCCGTTAGCATATTTGAAATAAACAAGATTCGGAGCATCAATCTTGATGACATTGAAACCTCTACGACAATTGGCATGCGGCATTCCGAAATCTAAAATCAATCTCTTTGTTGGAAAATAAACCGAGTACGAGTAATTTCCCTATAACCAGATTAGTGAGAATGCGAAATAAAAGTGGAAAAATAATACCCGAAATTGATAACGGAGTTCAGCCAATTGTGCTTACGTCTCCGGACTGCTGCAGATCTTTTACTAAGAGAGAAAATTTACAGGTGTTTACAAAACACTCACTACTCACAAGAAAGCTCTCTAGTATTGGGAGAAAGAAATAATTTGGGATTTTGGGATGATTTTGAAGCTAAATGAGCTAGGGTATTTATAGTTGAAACTTAAGGACTTAATCTTGTAAATACCCTAAAGCCTAGGGATTAATTGTGATTATCCCATTATCATTTTCAACAAACATCTACCAAACTTTGAAAAACTATTTTTCAAAGAAACATTTACCAAACTTTGAAAACCATTTTCAAAGAAACATTTACCAAACTTTGAAAACCATTTTTCAAAGTTGGTTACCAAACTTGAAAAACCATTTTAATACTTTCAACAATCTCCCACTTGAAGACTGATTTTAATCTGTCTTCACACATCGATCAATGCAACAACTTTTATAGTCTTGTTACTCTAGCATGCCAACTGAAGTTGAACACAACTTCAGTTTGTCTGTAGTCACCGTCTTTGTCAACATGTCTGCCGGATTTTGAGCTCAACTGATCTTTTCAAGTTTCAAAATCCCATCTTCCAGAAGAGACTGGATAAAATGATATCGCAATTGTATGTGATGTGTCCTGGAATGAAAAGACGGATTCTTTGCTAGATGTATAACACTTTGACTATCGCAATACAAGACATTGTTTTCTTGTTTCTTGCCTAACTCTTCCAAGAAACTTTGGAGCCAAACCATCTCCTTGCTGGCTTCCGTAACAGCGACATATTCTGCTTCAGTTGTGGAGAGAGCAACTATCTTCTGTAGTTGAGAAACCCAACTCACTGCGGTTCCTCCTAGAGTATAGACATACCGTGTAGTGCTCCTTCTGATATCAACATTTCCGGCTAAGTCAGCATCTACATAGCCTGTCAGTATCGTATATCCACCTTTGAAACAAAGTGTTTTGTTTGTAGTACCGCGCAGATATCTGAGGATCCATTTGATTGCTTCTCAGTGTACCTTGCCTGGATTATTCATGTACCTGCTAACAGCTCCCATTGCTTGAGCAATATCTGGTCTGGTACAAACCATGGCATACATTAGACTTCCAATTGCTGAGGCATACGTCACCTTCACCATGTGTGCACGTTCTTCCTCCGTCTTTGGTGACTGTTCTTTGGAGAGTCTAAAATGAACACCTAAAGGTGTACTTACTGGTTTAACATCTTGCATGTTGAACCTGGAGAGTACTTTGTTGATGTACTCAGCCTGTGATAACATCAAAGTCCCCGACATTGTGTCTCTCTTAATCCTTATCCCAAGAATCTGCTTTGCAGCGCCCAGATCCTTCATAGCAAACTGCTTCGACAATTTTTGCTTCAAGTTTATAATCTCTTGCATGTCTGAGCCTGCAACAAACATGTCATCAACGTACAACAATAAAATAATGAAGCTATTGTCGAACCTCTTGATGTAGCAACAATGATCTGCTTGGCATATGGTAAAACCACTGCTACTCATGAAGCTATCAAACTTCTTATACCATTGTCTAGGAGCATGTTTTAAACCATACAAGCTCTTCTTCAACCTGCATACCAGGTTTTTCTTGCATGCCTCTATGAAGCCTTCTGGCTGCCTCATATAGATTTCTTCCTTCAAATCACCATGAAGGAAAGCTGTCTTTACATCTAACTGCTCAAGATGTAAATTCTCTGCAGCTACAATTTTTAACACCAGTCTGATTGTGGACAATTTTACTACTGTAGATAAAATTTCATTGTAGTTAATACCTTCCTTTTGCTGAAAACCTTTGATAACCAATATTACTTTGCAGCGTTTGCTCCCATCGTGCTCTTCCTTGGTCCTGTAAATCCACTTGTTGTGGAGCGCTTTCTTGCCTGGTGGTAATTCAGCTAATTCCCACGTCTGATTTGACATAAGCGAGTCCATCTCATCTTTCATGGAAGACTCCCACTTGACTGAATCCTCCACCTGCATTGCTTCATCATAGCACTCTGGTTCACCATTGTCAGTCAGCAACAAGTATTGCAAAGAAGGAGAATAACGTTGGGTTGGTTTAGTAATTCTGGAGGAGCGTCTTAGTTCCGATGTGCCTGGTTCTTCTTGAACTGCTTCAAGACTGATCTGAACATCATTTCCAGAAATCTCCTCGAACTCAACAAATTTCTTTGTTTCAGCTTTGGTATTGGAGCTGCTTGATTCTACAGTTGACCTGTCTTTGTACATCACATTCTCATTGAAAATGACATCTCTACTTCTGATGATCTTCAGATTTTCATAGTCCCAAAACCGATAGCCGAACTCATCACCACCATAACCAACAAAGACACATTTGTTGGACTTAGCATCAAGTTTACTTCTTTCAGCAGAGTTTGTGTGTACATAAGAAATACAACCAAACACTCTTAAGTGTGAAAGGTTTATTTCTTTCTTGCTCCAAACTTCCTCTGGTATTCTGCCATCCAAAGGAACTGAGGGCCCACGGTTGATAAAGTAAGCTGCAGTGTTGATAGCTTCAGCCCATAGAAATTTGGGCAATCCGATATGTATCCTCATGCTTCTGGCACGTTCATTCAGAGTTTTTTTCATGCGCTCTGCTACGCCATTATGCTGCGGTGTCATGGGAACTGTTGTCTCCATCTTGATCCCATTGTTTGCTCAGAAATCTCTGAATCTTCTATTTTTGTACTCTCCTCCATTGTCAGACCTCAACCGCTTGACTTTCAAACCAGTCTTATTTTCCACCATGACCTTCCATTTTCTGAAGGTATCAAAGACTTCTAATTTCTTCTTCAGAAAATAAACCCACACCTTCCTTGTAGAATCATCGATGAATGTGACATAATATAATGAGCCTGCAAGAGATGGAACTGGAGATGGTCCCCATACATCAGTATGAACCAACTCTAACTTTTCAGCCTTGGGTGTCTTACCAATCTTTGCAAAGCTGACTTTCTTTTATTTGCCAAAGATGCAATCCTAGCATAGTTCGATATCTACATTCTTTAGATCCGGTAACTTCCCCTTTGGTAAAAGTGTCTTCATCCCTTTCTCGCTCATATGGCCAAGCCATTAGTGCCATAGGTTTGATATTCCATCAGCATCTGCTACTGTAATGATATTCTCTAAATTTGAGGTTATATAGAGAGTACCAGTTTTCTTACCACGAGCAATGACGAGTGCTCCTTTAGTAATCTTTCATTCACAGCCTGAAAAGGTTGTGCTAAATCCTTCACCATCAAGCTGTCCTACAGAAATCAAATTTCTTTTGAGGCTAGGAATATGTCTCACTCCTTTCAGCGTCCAGGTGGTCTGGTTTGGAAACTTTAATCGAATGTCTCCTTTTCCGATGATCTTCAAGGGTTCATCATCATAGTAATAAATAGTAACCTCGCAAAAAAATTGACAAAATTCACAACCAAAAGCTCTGATACCAGTTGTTGGGAAATAAACCGAGTACGAGTAATTTTCATATAACCATATTAGTGAGAATGCGAAATAAAAGCGGAAAAAATAATACCCGAAATTGATAACGGAGTTCAGCCAATTGTGCTTACGTCTCCAGACTGCTGCAGATCTTTTACTAAGAGAGAAAATTTACAAGTGTTTACAAAACACTCACTACTCACAAGAAAGCTCTCTAGTATTGGGAGAAAGAAATGATTTGGGATTTTGGGATGGTTTTGAAGCTAAATGAGCTAGGGTATTTATAGTTGAAACTTAAGGACTTAATCTTGTAAATACCCTAAAGCCTAGGGATTAATTGTGATTATCCCATTATCATTTTTCAACAAACATCTACCAACTTTGAAAAACTATTTTTCAAAGAAACATTTACCAAACTTTGAAAACCATATTCAAAGAAACATTTACCAAACTTTGAAAACCATTTTTTCAAAGTTGGTTACCAAACTTGAAAAACTATTTTAATACTTTCAACACTCTTAAGTGAAAGGCTATGGATATGGATCTCGCTTATATTACGAAACCTACACCTAAAAAATCCCAAATCTTCTAGGATAGGGCAACTGGAAATTAACTTAAGAACTGAATGAACATCTAAAAATTTGAAGAATGTAAAATGTAGAGTCTTGAGATTTGGTAAACAAGCATTAGATGGAACACCATTAACACCTCTGATTTTCACTTTCAGTGTGACGAGTGACTGGCAAGAAAATAGAAGAGTAGTAGGTAAAGGTGGGTTCTTTTTCTTGACCGAGAATATAACTATTTTCTTAACACCACGCTGCACTGCAACACATAGCCAACCATTAATGCGTAAATAATCATCGACCCATAAACGGTCATCCTCCGACGGGTCATAATTAATCCAAAAGTCATGAACCCTAAAGCATTCCAAGGTTACCAGCTTGGGGCTAGAAAAAATCTATCGACAAAATCCAGGAAATTGTCATCTTTTTACAAGTCGTTATGCAAGGTTTGAAATCAAGCTCAGATATTGATGAGACAAAAAGATACCTCCACCTCGGAGAAAGAACGGAGGTTCGAGCTGTATCTTTAGTGGGAAGGAACGACAGAATGTGACAAAGAACATTATCAGGTAAATTGTCGAAGAAACCCATTGATTTGGGTTGTTTGGCCATTGAACCATAAGCTGGAAAAAGCTACTTCCACAACATATAGGCCGATTTGACGGCTGGCGACAAGAATCATAGTGATTTTGGCTAGTATCGTGAAGAAAGGGAGAGGAAGTTCTTTTTCTTCTGTTTTAGAACCAAATATGAAAAAAAGGGTTTAAAGAGTTGAATCCGTCTTTTACTGGGTGGGTGGGTCGTCTAGTTAATATCGCCCCCACAAAGATTTTCATCGAATGCAGATGTGGAGCTATAAAAGTTAAATATATACCAGAGTTTACTTATTTATTTATAATTTTTCTTAATCATTTATAGTCTACACAATTTATAAATAACTTAATAACTTCAAGAAAAGTTATGTTAAAGTTGTTAGACTTAATACAATATTTAGTGGCTTAAATTATATCTTAAAATACAATTTAGTCTCTAAATTTTTTTTGCTACCAATATGTATCTAATATTTCTAAAGTTAAATTTTTATGTGTTTGGACCGAAATGACTGTTAAATTTGATTGTTATCTGATACATGTTAGCATATAAAATTTCAAAAATTATTTTATTTTAAAAATTTTAATATTATAATTTTTTTAAAAAAAACCTCAAATTTTATATTTTGTTGTCGGTCGGTCCGTGATCATTACCGTTGATACCATCAGAATCGTCTCGTCGCCGCGACCAAACTCAATCCCCCACCCAACGTGAAACTACGTCGATCATCGTGAAAAATATTACGAAAAGTCGTCAGATTTTTAGGGTTTTCGTCTCAATGGGTTCAGATTTAAGTAATGTTGAATTGTAATTCTACCTTTATATTATATTAATATCTTTTTGTGTCATAATTTTGGTTATTATTTAAATAATTTATGGTATATAAAATTAAACATTTTACTAAATTATATTTTATCAAATTTCATTTTAATTTAATTCATACATGTCATGTACTAGTACCTAAGAACGCGATCAATAATCTTTTAGAGAAATCGAAAACCTCTCGAACAAAATCAAATATAAACATTAACAAATAACTTAAAATTGACAAACATTTTGTTTCAACTATCACCAATACATTTATTTTGGGCAATAAATAAAATAAAATAAAAACCCAAACTATATTTTTTTATTATTTAGGTGCTTAATTTTTTTTTTCAATTCAAGTGTTATTATTTTAAGTATCTCGATCGTAACAACCATTAAAAATTTATATTAAATATCACATTTAATATATATATTTTTAAAAAAAATTCTCAAACCCTCACCTCACGTGCCTCTCCCCTCCCCCTTCCCCCGTCATCCCTTTCACCTTTCTCCTTCCCTCTCAATGCCCCGGCCGTTCCTCTCTCCTTCCCTGGCAGAAATTAAGTATTGCATGTTTTGGTTGATTAAATAATCTAATAAATTTGAGAATAGGTTATAGATTTAAGAATTAGGGTTAATAATTTATAGAGATTGAGACGACAACAAGAAAGATGATCGACAATGAAAATCTAACGATAGGAGGATGCTCATTTGATAAGATAGAGGCGACAGATGATGGGATTGGAATAAATGACTTTAGGTGTTTTTTTTTAATTTCAAAAAAAATTAAGGGTTTTTATATAATAATATTAAAAAAAATTAAATCAAAATTTTAAAATTAATTAAATATTATCACTTAACAAAAAAATTTACTATTAGATGAAACACTTAAAACAGTAACATTTATTACGTTAAACATCTACACTAATTGAAAAATAATTTAGGCATCTAAATAGAAAAAAAATAATAGTTTTAACACTTACTTTTGTATTAAGCCTCTGGACAACTATATGCTTCACCTCCATTGGGCTTACGAAATAACAATAGAAGCAATCTCTCAAAAACCAGTGTTCAAGAACATACAAAACAGAAGAGAGAAAATCAAATATTAGGGGAGTGACGATTACACATTTCTCTGATTTCTTCGGTAAACTAAATAGTTGTTCAATGACAGTCAATTCTGTCTCCCTCGTATCAATAGTTTCGATTTCAAGCATCTGCAGAACTGATGCATGTTTCAAGAAATAACTAACCATTTGCTCTACCTGAAAGTATTTGATTTTAATCTCCTTGATATGAAATAATAAACACGAAGGTACCGTTTTAGGCAATAGCCTGAAACCTTCGACTGACGTCCATTCCTAAGCATACAAAAAAGAAGAGAAAAATGTTTGTGAGTTTGAAACATAGATTTAAGTCGTGGTCTTGAACGATTCCCAATTTCATTTAAGTTTTGGGTAATTGGGGATTTATTTGATACTGAAATCGTCAATTGCAATGAATATTAACGGTAAATTTAAAAATAAATAAATTTGTACACTAATAGTAAATGATACTTAAAGAAGCCTTCATACCAGATCCAATTTAAGTGTCTTCAGATTAGGCATGCAATGTAGGTACTCCACAATCCACGTTCCTTGCCAATCATTATTGTCATAACCATTTTTTTTAAAACAATTAAATATTATTTTTAAAAACAATTATGACTTTAATTTGGAAAAATGGGTGATTTTGCATTGATTTGAATAAAATTAAAAAGAGTCGCCATCAACCTTTGGGTTAGGTAGGTCGAATACCTAAAAACGTCTTTTAAAACAATTTTAAGAAAAATCATTTTTTAAGACAAGATTCGGTCTGCGTTACCAAAGATTCATTTAAATGGATTCGGGAGTCGATTACGTGCGGGGAAGGGTAAGCACCCCACAACGCCCAAAAACTGGTACTGTGTCGCTTACATGTTGTCGTAAAATGGTGGAAACTATAAATCGAATATAAAGTTAAATTACGATCCATTTATTGAAATTTAATTAGTTTACTTCGAGTTAACTATTTAAAGAAAATCCTTTAACTCGATAAGAAATCTTGAAATTTGCAATCCTCCGTCGGGAAAGCTATTTCAACTATTTCTCTTTTGTAAAAGAATATTCTACCATTGATTATGTAAAAAAAAAAAATTGCGAATCAAATATAACTAAAAACGATGTTTACATACGAGTAAATTGATTAACTAAAAACGTGAATTGAATACAAATTAAAAAATTTGAAATTTACATTCACATAAAATAAAATAAATTGTCACTTAAAATAACACACATTGCATCGTTTGAACAAATTAATTAGCAAAATATACTCGACTTATTTCAAGTTTCTATGTCGTTAAAATGCCGTACCGGATCACACCACTTCGATCAAGTGGTACTTTCCACGCCCATTCAACGCATACGTGTTCTTGAAAATATAATCGAATATTTCTTACATAGATAAAGATATAATGAAAATAAATGTAATTGGAAATACAAAATAAAATATTTACATTAAATGAAATTGAAAACATTATTTACATAATCCAAATTATTAAGTAATGAGTAAAATACACATCCATACATAAATGTCTAAAATAAATTAGTAAATATTACAAACCAAAATAAATATAAAAACATTTAAGAGGCTAAAATAATATAAACAGAAACTTAGGAGGCTAAACAGCAAAAACAGAAAGTTAATGGACCAAAAAATAGCACTAACCGAAATTTAAAGGACTAAATAAAAAATAAAAATAATTTAGAGCCCATATCACAAACATTAAACAGTCAAATACTAGAAGTGAAAATAACCCAAAAGTAAAGCTTATGACTAAATTGAAATTTCACAGAAACATGGAGGATCAAATAGTAATTAAATAAAATGTCAGACAGTGACCAAAATAGAACATTTGCAAGTATGATGGCTGAATTCAAACATCCACAAAATATCACAATACAAGAACTTAGGACTAGACTGAAACTATTACAAACATAATGTCTAAAAGTCAAATATTCACAAAAATGACATAACATACATTAATAGGACTAAAATAAAATATTTAAAAATGGGATGGCCAGATTCGAATATCAAAGAACATACATGAAATATTAAATCAGTGGCTAAGATGTAACATTTAAAAATATGGAAACCAGAACCAAATATAAACCAAAAAATGTTATAATACCTAGGATAGTGACTAAAATGAACCTAAAAGAAAATTTAAGCCTAAATCAATATTAATCCCAATCGAACCCACAAGCCAACATAAAGGACCGAAATGAAAAGGATACAAAACAGATGACCAGAATCATAAACCTCACCGAAAATAAAAACTAAGAACAAAGATGGACTAAAATAGAAGGCAACCCAGTTTAAAGACTAAAACATAAATGTTAATAAATTCCATTAATACACATACAATGATCAAAATAAAATTAATCACAAATCAATAAACTTGAATAGGCATAAAACCAAACTAACATTACAGAAAATTTAAGGACTGAAATAAACATTTCACAAATTCCAGGCTTGATATATAAAATTGTCATAAACATCAACACATATGTTAGGACGAAAATATAACAAGAAATAAAAAGGAGACCCAAATAGAAAAACTGAAACCTAAAAGACTAAATAGGAATTAAGCCATACACAAGCCAATGGCTAAAATAAAATATTCACAAATATAGTGACCAATGTCAAATATTAACAAAATAACTTAACAAATAATAAAAGGACTAAAATATAAATAAGGAAACATCAGAATCTGAAATCAAATAAATGAAACTTCATTTAATGGCTAAATAATACGGTTACAAAGCATCAGGGACCAAAAGCGTAGTTACCCCATGCGTGAAATTACAGAACTCGTCCCCTCAAAACGACGCCGTTTCCCACAAGCTATAAATAGCCCAAATATCTCCTTGAACCGGCCATCTGTTTCATTTTCCCTTCAGCATGAGAAAGGGAAAGAGAGAGAAGAGGAGAGAGTGAGAGAGAGATATCTAGAAATCTCTCTGGAAACGGCGAGATTCCGCCGTGCCGGCCGCCACTGACCGGCGGCCGCCGCCGTACGCCGGCGCCGAAGGGAGAGAAAACGACACTATTCAAAGCGTCTCCAGACCCTGAGCAAGGATCTGGCCTCCGTTTGGCCTAAAAGTGGCTCAATCGCAGTGGATTAGGGGAGAAACC